TTTCATAATCAATATCTTTCTCTTTGTCTTCAGTATCACTTTCTTGCTTCTTGTTCATGGTTTCTTCATCTACTTGAGTGTTTTCTAATGTAGTTTCTGGTTCATCAAGTTTAGGTTTTCCATGCATCTTTATGATCATTTCATTTAGCTCTGTTTTCAGTGATATATGGATCCTTTAAATCATTTCAATTAGTTCCTGCGCCATTTTCTTATTTCTGGGTTGTTGTTATTCCAGTTTTAAGTTTTGTTATAACCCACCTTCTTTAATTGTCAAGGTCGAACAGCTTGCAGACAAACAAATCCTTCCTAAAAGTTCTCACTGCTCTTATCACTTTAAGAGGTATTTTTTTCAATGTAAAAGTTCAATTTTGTAATGTTCTTTTTTTCGCCTGTAGATGTTTCTCTCCAATCCACAATTCCAATCAACAGCCTAAAAAAGTATCCATTTTGTTTAAAATTTTGCCAATCTTTGCCAATTTTTATCTTTTCCTTCTTAATTTTATATTTCCTAATCAATTTTGAATCCAAATCCAAATTCCGAATCCAGTTTTTTTTAAAAAAACTCTTCTATTACAGGGCTTTCGTGTTCAATTTCCTTTGTCCTTTCTTTAGCAATCAACAAAATTCTTTTTAAATTCTTTCCAATCCTCTTCACACCTATTATGGGCTTATTTTCATTTTTTTTTCTTCTAATTTTTTAATTATCTCCACACATTTTAGTCCAAAAATCAAGTTTCGTTTTGGGCTTTGCCACTAAATTTCCACTTTATTCTTCTTCCTTCATTTCCCCCACACCCATTAGCTGCTGTTATTTCGCTGGGGCAATTTAACAATTTAAAAGTATTCATTTTTTGCCTGTGAGCTGGCAATCACTCACCTGGCATCAGTACTCTATTCAAATCACCACTCCTGCTCAAAACTTGATCTGGTTGCCCCAGCTTTATGATGGCTGCAATGGTCACTGCCCCTGCTGCTGAGTCGAAGAGTTTCCTCCAACCTCTGAGGAACTTGCCTCTTCCTCTTGGTCGTCCGAAGTGCCTCTCCTTCTTCTCCATCCCTACAGGACAGATCTGGTCCGAAGACCTCTTGATAGCAGCTTGTCAGCCCGGGATTTCACAGGTTCATCAGAGCCCGCTATTCCCTGTCTATCTCGCCGTGACGTTTCTGGTCGAATCTCTTGTGTATCATTTCATCAAACTTTTTTAAAAAGCTTTCAACTAGGGATTGCGTATTATCAAACAGTCTTTTTTTGGATATCAGGGACATTTGCTTGTCTGTAATTTGATATATTGTTGCTCTGCACAATTTATCAGTGATAGATAACTGAATATACGAATCAGGGAACATTGATGTAATATTCCTAAAAAAAGAAAAAAAAAAGAAATAGAAAAAGAAACAAGGAAAATATTGTCTGGATATTTTGATGAAAAGTTAAAACAAAAAATGAAATATTGAACTCCAGGATCTCGACATACTTGAACATTGGATGCTGTCTAATAAAATGAAATCCAATGGTGAAAAAAGTAAGGTTCTACATTTAGGCAAATAGAACAGAATGCAAAGGTACAGTATACGTGGTACCTTGCTCAATAGTAGTAACTGTGAGAGGGATCTTGGAGTCCTAGTGGACAACCATTTAAATATGAGCCAGCAGTGTGCTGCAGCTCCTGAAAAAGCCAACACAGTTCTAGGCTGCATAGACAGAGGGATAGAATCAAGATCACATGAAGTGTGAGGGAGACATGATAGCAGTGTTCCAAGATCTCAGGGACTGCCACAAAGAAGAGGGAGCAAGCTATTCTCCAAAGCTCCTGAGGGTAGAACAAGAAGCAATGGGTGGAAACTAATGAAGGAGAGAAGCAACTTAGAACTAAGGAGAAATTTCCTGACCATTAGAACAATTAATCAGTGGAAAAAGTTTCTTCCAGAAGTTGTGAATGCTCCAGCACTGGAAGTTTTTAATAAAATGTTGGATAACCATTTGTTTGAAATGGTGTAGGGTTTCTTGCCTAAGCAGGGGGTTGGATGAGAAGACCTCCAAGGTCCCTTCCAACTCTGTTATTCTATTCTATTCTATTCTGTTCTGTTCTGTTCTGTTCTGTTCTGTTCTGTTCTGTTCTGTTCTGTTCTGCTCTGCTCTGCTCTGCTCTGCTCTGCTCTGTTCTATTCAAAAATCAACAGATTGTCAGCAAGAAAAAGAAAAGTTCCTACCATTTAGTAGCTATCTTGGGGAGCAATAAAAAAATATACCGATTGTTTTATGTACTGATTTATTTCACCATAGATAGCATATAACTGATCTTTGATTTAAAAGACTTATAAATATTCAGGGAATATTTATTTAGATAATTTATATGTTATTTTGATACTGCACGGAGGTTACATGCCATGATTATGGCCAGAATCGGTGTGCTACAAGGTTTAATTATGATATATTTAAACAATGAAATATTGTGTCACTCAAGGTTTGACAAAGTTACATACAAGAGTTAGAACTTTTATTGATTTTAGGAGATATAAAAATTGCCTTGAAACAGTCAACTGATTCCCAGTTTAGGATTATGTTAGTTATTTTCATGGTTTATTCAATCAGAGTGTAAGAGACTAGCACCTCATAGGGTTGGTGGAGGTTTCTAAACATGTTATCTTGAAGAGCCAAGATAACAACAAAGTCGTTTCAGGAGACCAGGGAGACTACAGAATGTCCAGTCCTAGTCAGTTCTATAACTTCAAAACAACAACAAGAAGACATTGTACTCCTTGATGCTGCTTATAGAAAAAGATTACAGGTTAAATAGACAAAATAGACAGTTCATCAAACAGCAACGTTCTGAGGTAAATTACTTTGGGGGAAACCTTCCTCTATTCTATAAATCTACTACAACTTTCTAAGTTACACTTCTTTTGCAGGTTTTGGACCAAACTATAATCTTGGCCTTTTTACAGTAATATCTGGATTTTGACTCAATATAATGAAACAGTATTACCTGTTTGTTCTCAGCATTGAATGCCAGGTGAGAAAAAGAAAAACTAATTAAATATGTAATGAGGAAGTGGATCACCTTGAATACATTTTTGAGAAAGTGCTCAATTATGAAGGGAAAAACCACAGAGTTGCCAAATCACATATTCTGTTCCAAATGGTTCAGTAGACGTTGGAAGCTGATGACCTCTGAGATAACAGTGTAGAGCACATAAAAATATGGTACTGTCCAGGGCTGTCAAGTGCATTTAGAGAGAAAATGGCCTCAATCACATCATTCCTTTTGTTCTGCACTCTTTTTCAGTTGCTCATTGCAACAGGTAAGGTAAAAATATCAAATATTTTGGGTTGAATATTTCACCTGGGACAGTATATCACTAATCATTGCTTTAAAACACTAATTTTCAGAGATTGTTAATTTAGAAAATGCATATGTTGTTTGGATCAGTGAGAATGTTTAGCAGAGAGTTTCTTCAGTTCTGATGCTGTCTTCTTTTATGATTTTAGACACTCAGCCCTGCGTCTTTCCATTTGTTTACCGTGGGAGAGTATTTACTTCTTGCACCTCATTTAATAGCTGGGGCCTATGGTGTGCCACAACTGCAAACTATGATGGTCAATGGAAGTATTGTACCATTACAGGTCTGACAAAGTTACATTTATGAGTTTTACTGATTTTAGGAGGGTATAACAATTGTCTTGAAACAATCAACTGATTCCCAGTTTAGGGTTTCTGATTGTAATCTCATATACAGCAGCTGCCAAATCACATATTATATTCTAAATGGTTATGTAGACATCGGCAGCTGATGACCTCTGAGATACCTTTGTAGAATATATAAAAATGAGGTGAAACAAGGAAACAAGGAACCTACAAATTTGGAATATTTAAAGGGAGCAAAATGGCAGATTTGGAGGACTACAAACATCGTGGATTCTAATGAAGAGTTCAGGGATTGAGCAAAATTTTCTAATATTAGCTTTTTGGTGTTTTTGGACACTTGGGACATTGGGATTTTGATGTATTATTGAGCTACTTCTAGCCCATTAAAATAAAGAAATATGTTACAACAAGGGAAAACAAATACACTCCAAAAAGAAATACTATTAATGCTTCAATGTATCCAGGAGGCAATGACAAGGAAACATAGGGAGATGATGGAAATAGGTATGTAGGCTATTTCTTTTATTTATTTCTTTTATTTTATTTTATTTCTATACCGCCCTATTCCCGAAGGACTCAGGGTGGTGCACAGCCAAACAATAAAATACATACATACAAAATTTAAAAATGGAATTAAAATCAAATTAAATAGTTTTGCCCCAGACAAATTAAAACCCCAATCAATTTAAAACCTATTTTAAAATTTGAATATATAAATACTAAAAAATATTAAAAAACTAAAAATCTTTTATAAAAGAGGGAGAAAATTAGGCCAGGCCCGCCTGGTGAAATAAAAAGGTCTTTAAGGCGTGGCAGAAGGTGCGCAGATCCGGGATCCTCCGTATCTCCAGGGGGAGCTCATTCCAGATAGTAGGTGTCCCACAGAGAAGGCTCTCCCCCTGGGGCCGCCAGTGGGCATTGTTTGGCCAACGGCAACCGGAGGAGCCCCCCTCTATGGGAGCATACTGGCCAGTGGGAGGCTATTGGTGGTAGTAGGCGGTCCCGCAAGTACCCAGGTCCTGAGCCATGGAGTGCTTTAAAGGTGGTAACCAAAACTTTGAAGCGCACCTGGAAGACCACCGGGAGCCAGTGCAGCTCGCGCAGGAGGGGTGTTACATGGGAACTCCATGTCGCTCCCATTACCACCCGCGCGGCCGCACTCTGCACCAGTTGGAGCCTCCGGGTGCTCCTCAAGGGGAGCCCCATGTAGAGGCTATCCTGAATTCCTCAAAATCAAAATGGGATACAAAGATATATGCAATTAAAATAGCAACTGCTAAAATGTTTGCTTTGTTGAGTTGTGAATCAAATGTTTTAGCAAGTAAAGTAAATTTTTTATCTATTATATTATTGCAGTGATTCAAGAGTAGTATTTGAAGAGACATTAGGGAATGAAAGGTAAGAAAATGCAAAGAAATTACTTTTTAAAAAATTGTGTGTGTACATTCTAATGCTTTTTTTTTTTAATTTTCCAAAACGTATAACCAGGTAGTCCTTGATTTATAACAGTTCCTTTAGTGAAAATTCAAAGTTGCAAAGGTATTAGCATGAAAAAAGTTTTTACATATTTACATTTCTGGGCTATATTATTCAGTAGATTTAGGAGAAATAACAATTGTCCTGAAATAGTTAACTGATTCTTGTTGTAAAGTTTTTGAGACTAATCTGGTATAGAATTAAGACAGTTATTGCAAAATGTTTGTGTGTACCTTTAGTGAGCTTCATACATTATAATTACTGATCAACTAATAACACTATTAAAAGTTTTTTTCCCATGATTCTTTCCCAGCATTTATAGTCAATACCCTAAAATGACATATACCGGGGCTTCAGTGTACACTGAATGCATTGTTCTCTTACCTTTCTTGAAAGCAAGGAATGTGTCTTACTGAAATGAAATTAAAACTTGAAGTTATGTGACATAAGCTATTACTAAGACAGTTTATATGTTTTAATGTTTTCTTTCGTGTTTAGAATATGGAGGTAATTCTGGTGGACAATCTTTTGTATTGCCTTTTAAGTACAAAGGCTGTACATTTTACTCTTGCATCAATAAAGATGAGAAAGGGGGAAGATATATTAATGCAGCTGGATTTTGTCAAACTCTGCAGCAGATTAATTTAAACTGAATTATCAGAATCAAAGCAAGAGTCCTCCACAATGGATTGTATTTAAATCCAGCCTCTCAAAGTTTGTTCCTGAACCAGAATTTATAGATACAGGGAATTTTCCTCCTTATTTGTTTCTATCACCTTCCACTATCTTAGCTATTAAGAAAATTAGGCTGAATACTCAAACTGCTTTTCATTTACAAGAGCCATTGAGCGCAACTCCATGTAGTGCCCTGAAATCATTTTATTTCTAAAGTATTAACATTTATTAAATATTACATCCACTTGCAGGCACATGTACGTTCCATTTCTTGCCATTAAAAAAATAAATAAAAACAATTTGTATCTATGCTTCATGCAGTTCCATTATGTGGTACACAATTTGTATCTTGCATGTGGTAGCCCTGCTGGACAGCTCTGTGGCGATAGTTGAGTAATAATGCAAATCACGTTTTGCTTTTTATAGTAAATGCAACCTAGGTAGCTGTTTATCCTTTCTGACAGAATTGGCTGTGATTTTTGTTTCTGTGAAATAAAACAGATCGCAAAAAGTCTCTAAGGTTTTTTTTGAGTTATCATAACTTCCTATAAGTAGATATCTTGAACTCTCTTGAACTTTTGATGTAATTCTATTGTTTTCCTTTTCCCTCAGATTTGCAAAATCAATAACATTTGGGATGATTTGATTCCAGAGATGATAGTTTTCCAATCAAGGTTATGATATATGCCATCTGTCACCTTATCTTTGCAAATTTATTATTAATCTAGGCTTTCTAGAAGTTAGTAGACTTTGTATTTCTTAATGAAAATTGCTGATTCTTTGTAATAAATATTCTAGGCAGAAAAATGGTGCACATTCTTTTGCATTGCTTGTATTCCATTCATCCGAATCAGCCCTGAGGCAGATTTCCTTTGCTATCTTCCAGCAGCACCTCCCATCACCTGAGTATGTCTGTCACCAGCTGCAAGGAGAATAAAAGGCATGGTAGGGTGGGAGAGGGGGAGCAGATCTCTCTAGAGTGGCATGGGAAGAGATGGAGGTGCTCCCAATGCACTGGTGGTTCTTGATATCCAAACATTCAACTCATAGCAAGTTTCCACATGTCAGTGGGCCTAGTTCACAATATATGCTGGTGGGGTGTTGCAGTTATTCTTCAGTATGGGTGTGCCTGAAACTACCCAAATTTTGATCTTGTGACCATGGAGCTACAATGGTTAGAACTTTGGGTTGTTTAGGTTGGGTTGGGTTGGGTCCTTTTGTTCATTGCTATTATAATTTTAAATAGTCACTGTATGAATGGTTATAAATCGTCGGAGATGGCTCGGGAGTTCATGGCTTCCATGACGGCTGTGGACCTGACCCAGTTAGTTCATGGCCCCACTCACGGGGGGGACACTCTCTGGACTTGATTTTTGTCTCTGGCCAGTGGTTGAGTGGTCTTATTATAGGGGATATAGACTTGAAACCCTTGTCATGGTCAGATCACTCACTCCTTCGTCTGGACCTTCGAACCGCTACACCCCGCCGCAGGGAGGCTGAGCCAATTAGGTGGGTCCGCCCCAGGCACCTGATGGATCCTGATAGGTTCCAGATGGAGCTTGGGCCATTTCCTGAAGATCTGGCACACGACTCGGCCGAGGACCTGGTAAAAAATTTAAGCTTAGACTGTCTACTGTTGACCTCACCCCATTCGTAAGAGGTCTTTAAGGGGTGTGCATAAGTGAGCCAGCATGCCTACCATCCCTGTCCTAAAGTTCCCTTTTATTTATATCCATCTCATGTATTCATAATCATGTTTATGCTTATATCTGTTTTCTAATACATGCTTGACAAAATAAAATAAATAAATAAAAAATAAATATTCAGAGAACTGTCATGATTAAGGACTGGGTTCTATTCTCCTTTATGTAATTATTTTTTTACAGCTACGTTAGATAGAATAAAAATAAACAAAAGCAGCAGCAACACCAACCCCAATCCCCCCCAAAACAATTTTTCTGCTGCAAATGCTAGAGAAAGATATACAGGTAGTCCTCAGTTAGAAACAGTGATTCTTCAGTTGGACAAAAATAGAAAAGAGAGAAGCAAATCCTTGAGATTCTGAGGTTAAAGTGGGGGGAAGGGATATGTTTGTGGACGTTTCTCAGATGATTATAGAATCTATAACTTATAGAAACTTTCTAATATTCTGCCACAATTTGTTCTTCATAGAATGGGAAGTTGCTGCCCAGAAAGCCTTGTGCAACTTTCTAGTTCCCATTTTGCAGACCACAAAGGTAGCTGAGGAAAATTCAAAAGTAGCTTAAACATCTGAGAAGCTTAGTCAGAACATAATAATAAAAATCTGTCCATATTTTTTCATTTCTGTTCTGTTCTGTTTCTGTTCTACATTCAATATGATAGTACCAATATAATTCAGGTATCTGTATGAGGTCAAAGTAATTTGAAACACCTGCTTGAATTCTGTACAAAATGGACTCTGAGGTGCAATTTATAGAACTGAGTACAAAGAGTACAAAGAAAGAAAGAAAAATAATTTTTGGATAAATTGCTTACATAAGAGATAGGACTAAATCACAACACAATGATCTCTGTCTGCATACTCCTTTAGTGTTTCAAGTACCCTTTTAAATAAAATATCTACATTTAACAATAATTAATCTTCTACCATTATAGTCGTTTTGCAATATGAATCTTTTGAGCAGCACATCTTCATTAATGTAGCTGGATAATATATCAGGTTATTTAAATTGAATTATCAGAATCAAAGCAATAAATCTCTGATATAGGTCACATCTGAGTCAAAGCTATATTCCTGAGTCAGAATTAGAGGTATAGGGAAATTTCCGCATTAGTTATTTATTTACCTTCTAGTATCTTAGCTATTAATTAAATTCGATTTTATACTAGGATTGCTGGTGCATATTAAATGCCCTTGACAAGAATTCCATTTAGTGCAACTAAAGGTAATTGGTATTACCGACCTAAGTGGTAACATTGTGTGGTGTACATTTTGTACATTGCATTGTGGTGGACTTACTTAATTCCTCTGTAGTGATGGTTGGGTAATGATGCAAATTACTCAAGGATTCTACTTCTAGATAGATATATATAGCTTTGTGACTACAAGCTTTAATCTTAACATTCCCAAAATCTTCAAATATATTTTAGGGAATAATATTCATAGAACCTATTTTGGCTTCTTAAGGTTCAGTGTTATTTGCTAGTTTTTCTTCCAAGATCAGAAAAGATAAAACCCTTTCCCACATTAATTATATGTGACATTGGAGACTTGCTTGAACAATACTAGATGTCCATGGCTTTCTGCTTAAATGCCACCGATTTAACATATTTACCCCTTCTGACTGATTTGTCTTTTTGCTGTCTACAAAATAAAACAGGACAGAAAAAGTCTTTAAACTGTTTTTAAGTTATCATAATTTCCTGTAAGTAGAAATCTTGAACTCTCTTGAACATTATGACATAATTATATAATTTTCCTTTTCCCTCCAGATTACCAAAAATCAAGAAAATGTGGGATATTTATAATTCCAGGGATGATATTAGAGTTGCCAGGTGTCCACTATTTGAGCGGACAGTCCGCTTTTTTCACATTATGTTCACTATTTTTTTTCACAAAATAGTGGACATTTTTTTTATTCAAAAGCTTTATGATGAAATGGTACGTAAATTTTGCGAGTCAGAATTCCATGAAGTTTTGTGCCATGTTCCAACACGTTGGTTAAGTTTATTTAAAGCAGTCAAAAGACTTCTTTTAAACTGGATACCTCTAAAATCATATTTTATTTCTCTTGGATCTGATGAGTGCCATAAGGTTATCTGGAACCTTATTTAGGATCAGGAAAATGAACTCGCAAAGGACGATGAACCAACAATTTCAGAATTGTATTTATATTTCACGCACTTCTTCATGTCAATAATGCAAGACACCTTACTGGAAAGCAAGAAAATTCTTGCATGTGATCTTCACATTATCATGTGTAAGCTGCGTGATTCTTTGCAAAAAAAAATACGATGAGCAGTTTTTTGGAATGAAAGTTTTATTTGCCTTACGTAAAAAACATTTGCCTGAGAATGCCGTGCAAAAGTTCAAGAAAGAAGCCATCAACGTGGCTTGTATCAAAGAGCCATTGTGTACCTAGAAAAGTGGTATAATTTCACCGATTCAGTATATGAGACGCTAAGTTGTTTCAATCTAATTGATCGCAATAATCCTCCAACTTTAGAAGAAATGACGAACATCTGGTTATTATCACCATGGCAAGAAGATCTTCCACCTAACATTCTCTTCGATGAAATTTCTGCCTTAGAAGAAGTTTATGTTCATCTGCAGGGCGATTCATCCCTTGATAAGTGGATGTACTTTTTCAAGAAAGAGCCAGCTCTGAGTTTACTGAAACTGTTCCAGTATTGTGCATCAATTCCGGTATCAAATGTAAACGTTGAACGAATTTTCAGCGTCATGGGAAATTTGTGGACTGATGAACATAACCGACTGCTTGTACCATCAGTTCGAAATGAACTTTGTATATTTTTTAATATTTCTCAACGTTGTACTGAAATTAAAGAATTATTCCTTAAACACAAAGAATTGATCAAAGCTGCGCAGTCAAATAAAAAATACACAGGACAGCAAAATAAAATGTAATTTAATATTTTACATATTATTATAATATATTTGATGTTTTGAATTTTAAATAAAGTTTTGAAGTGATTATTTTAATATATGTTAAAATGTTCGTAAGAAAATATATAATTTAATTGTAATTTTTTTTAATTTTTTTACTACTTAACCACCCCCCTCCCTGCTTGTCCGCTATTTTTTGGAAACAGACCTGGCAACCCTATATTTTTCCAATCAAAATTATGATATATGCTATCTGTCACCTTATATTTGCAAACTTACTATTGCACTAAAAGTCTAGATTGATAGAAGCTACGAAGCTTTGCATTACTGAGATATTATTTAATTGTTAGATGTGGCTAGCTCCTAAACTCCACATATTTGTTGTATCATTTTTAGCAGCTTCTAGGAACCTTCTTCTGTGCCATCAAATTTTGGAAGGAATCCATGAATTTTCTGCCAATTCATGATTGGTTCAAAATTCTTATCTTATCAATTTAGAAATATCTTAACATTTAAGTCAACAATTCTTATTGTTGCCTTAAATATTAAGATATTTTTAAATGGATTTTCTATGTAATGTTTAAAAAACCTGGTAAAAATGTTTTTTTAAATGTAGTTTTGTTGATCGTGGCATTCAACGCTGGAAAATATAGCACAGGGGTGATATATTTCATTGAGTGCCACATCAGGGTTGTATTTGATCTCGGGGGGCCGGGTGGGCATGGCTGGGGTAAGCATGGCCAGCTTGACATCACTCATGTCGGGGGCACCTGTGGTGGCCTGGGTGTGGCGTGGGGGATCCATTGTGTTAAGCAGAAGTAGGTGAGACAGTAAAAATGGAGCTTGGGGGGGGGCACGGGACCCATTTTCAGCCTGGATAGTCTCCTGCAGCCCTCTGCCAGCAAAAATGGAGCTCAGGGGGACCACACATAGCCCTTCTTAGCTCCATTTTTTCTGGCAGAGGCACCATGGGCCAGTCCTTTTCTTTTTTCAGGGCAGCCCTGTTGGCCAGATCTAAGCACCCCACAGGCCAGATCCAATCTGTGGGCCTTGAGTTTGACATCCCTGGTATAGCAGAAGGAAAGCATACCTGACTTCAGAAGATTTTATAGAATATGTTTAAGCTAGTGATTGATAAATCAATCAGAGATAGCCATCAGGCAGCAATGGCTGTAAGGAGCTCTTCCA